GAGTAATTGTGCCAGACCCACGAACGCATGATGGGGACCCATCGGCCAAAGTAACGGTAGAAGTGGAAGTGTGAGATTGAAAAGTAGAAAATATACCAGAATTACCTGTCATATGATCTGTGGCACCAGAATCTATGACCCATTTGGAGGATGAGGAAAGAAGGCACGCATTTGGGTTACCTGAATCAGCAATGGCCGTGACAGAGGGAGATGAAGACTTGAGTGATTCTTGATACTGTGAGAACTTGGCAAATTCATCTGCAGAGAGAATAACCGATTTCTCCAAATGATCATTGGTGGAAGCAACATGGGCTGAGGGAGCTCGCTGATTCCGATATTGAAGCTTACGACATTCACGCTTCGTATGTCCTGGCTTGTGGCAGTAATGGCACACAATTCCTCCAGAACCCAGTGGTCGAGTAACAAGTCCCTGAGGGCCTCCTCCTTTGTTCCCACTCTGATTGGTTGATCTCCCAGACTCATAAGTATTTCGACTCACCAACGCACTACTGAGTTGAACAGGCGGAGTACCTTCAGTGCGAAGTACTCGACTAAAGACATCATGCAGGGAAGGGATCTCAGAACCAGAAAGAACCTGAGACTTAGCAGTTTCAAAATCAGAGGGAAGGCCAGCAAGAAAACTCATGATAGCCATTTGTTCTCGCTGGCGTTGCTGAACCTTTACATCAGGACTAAAAGGTAATAACATATTAAGCTCCTCATATGTCCTCTTGAAAGCCATAAAATAGTTCGTAAGAGACTGATCTTGTTTGTCTGCACGGTAAAAGGCCTTGCAGACCTCATACATACGAGAAAGGTTCCCTTTACCAGAATACAAAAAATCCAAATATTCCATCAATTCTTTAACAAATTCACAGTGATTGATCAAACCAATCACCTCGCTATCAATAGAATTCCGAATCTGCAGGAATAAACGAGCATCCTCCCGAAGCCACGTCTGTTTGGAATCACCTGTAGGAGGATCATCAGTCAAATGAGTATCTTTGTCAATACTCCGGAGATAAAGGCGAACGGTCTTACTCCAATCCAAATAATTCAAACCATTCAACTTATGGTCTGTGATTTTAGACATCACGGGCACCATATCGGACACACCTAAGGCTATCTTCTCAGCCATAGTCCCAAATAAAGATACAAAGGCAGCCTAGGAGANTTCTTCTCAGCCATAGTCCCAAATAAAGATACAAAGGCAGCCAAGGAGACAAAATAAACCTTCACAAATGCAAATCAGCAACAATATACCCCTTCAAAGTGGCAAATCAGCAAGACCAAGAGAAATTATACACAACCCAAACCCTAGAACCACCGGAAAAGACAGAGGGAAGCAAACCGGAGGGAGCTGCAGGCCAGACGACGGCGCCGGAAGCAGCTGGGGACAGAGGCGAACCGGTCGGAGCGGTCGCGGACTGCTGCAGGCGTCTGGGAGTAGACGCGAACGGCTGCAGACGGGAGGGAAGCCGAAAATTGAAGTCACGGACGGCTGCAGGCGGCGCGGNTGAATTTATATGTGAAAAAGGTACCGTCGACCTTCAACATGGACAATTGCTATATATATCTGAACTGACATATTTGCTCATATGTTTGCAGAGAAAAAAAATTTGAAGCTGATTCTAGCCATAGGTAAATATATTGAAAGAATACAGATATATTACATATTAGATGTCAAAGTTCTGTCCAGTTTGCCCAATTTCATTTCTAGTTAATGGCAGAAATCAATATATTCACAACAATTTTTCTTTCCGACTCTGGCTAGCGAGCTCTTGATTTCTCTCTGTATTGTGATTTTCAGTTATACCTGGAAGTATAGTCATACTTTGCGTGTTAGGCCTTTTCATTTGGCGCCATAAAAGAAGAATCAATGATGCATACTTACTTTCGAGGACCGTGTCCTCCGATCCCTCCTCAAAACCAGACATTGAAGCCGGGAGTTTCTACTTTGGTATCCCCATCTTCTCCTACACAGAACTTGAAGTTGCCACCAATAATTTTGATGATTCTAAAGAACTTGGGGAGGGAGGTTTTGGAACTGTCTACTATGGTAAGAATCTATTAGTCATCAGGACGCAAACTCACTCTAAATCACGATAAATAAAGTTGTGGCTAGTCGATATATAATATAATTGGCAACTGTTTAAATCTAATAGCAAGTCTGCCTTCTTTCTAATTAGGCAAACTCCAGGATGGACGAGAAGTAGCAATAAAGCGCCTCTATGAGCATAATTACAAACGAGTAGAGCAGTTTATGAATGAAATCAAGATCCTTACTCGCTTGAGGCACCAGAATCTTGTTTCTCTCTATGGCTGTACATCTAGGCGCAGCCGGGAACTCCTACTTGTTTACGAGTACGTTTCTAATGGCACAGTTGCAGATCATATCCATGGTGACCGAGCTAATGAAGCACCACTCTCATGGCCAATCCGCATGAACATTGCCATAGAAACTGCTAGCGCATTGGCATACCTTCATAAATCTGATATAATACATCGCGATGTGAAGACTAACAACATACTACTCAACAACAATTTTTGTGTCAAAGTTGCAGATTTCGGGCTTTCAAGACTCTTCCCTAATGATGTTACTCATATATCGACTACCCCTCAGGGAACTCCTGGATATGTTGATCCTGAATATCATCAATGTTACCAACTTACTAATAGAAGTGACGTTTACAGCTTTGGAGTTGTCCTCATTGAGCTCATATCATCAATGCCTGCTGTGGATATAAGTAGGCATAGTCATGAAATCAACTTAGCCAACTTAGCAATAAGCAGGATCCAACGGTGTGCATTTAACGAGTTAATCGATCCATCTCTTGGATTTGGATCTGATGCTGACATCACAAGGATGACTACTTCAGTCGCAGAGATAGCTTTCCAATGTTTGCAACTTCAAAAGGATCTAAGGCCTTCTATGGACGAAGTGTTAGCATTTCTTAAGGAAATAAGGGGTGATGAGGAGTTCGAAATTGAGAAGAAAATGGAAACTAATGATAATTACTGTGTTCCAAGAAGTATAAAGATCCCACCTTCACCTGAAACAGATGATGTTGTATTGTTGAAGAGCATGTACTTACAATCCTCACCAAATGCCGTGACTGATATGTGGATTAGCGGCTCTTCAACAACTAGTTCCAGTGTATGAGATCTTTATTTTCCTCTTCATTTTTGCAGAAGATGATGATGGTAAGAATTTTCTTAAACACCCTTTATATTGTTTGCCATATGGGTGCTATATATTGTCTTCTATGCTTTCATCTTCACATACAGTAAATATAGAACTAAAAACAGAGGATTATTAAGTGTTGTAGCTTTTTTATCTTCTGGCCGCGATGTTCTTTGCTTGAATAATCTTGGACATTTTGGTATGCAGAAGCAATGTAAAAATCAAGAAACTTTTTCTTCGTTCCTTGTATCCTATGTTGTTCAATCAACTATATCAGTAACAATATTTTGCATAAACTAATTATATTGTGACCAATAGAGCAAATACCACACATCTGAGTAGTAGTCATTCTTGACACACTGTCAAATGTGAAGAGTTGTAGTTTTCGTTTGGATCCTGGATTCTACAAGGAAAAGGAAGAAATATGCTAAAGAAAATTTTCGACAATCACAGTTTTTGGATTTGTTTCATGTATGTAGTCTTCTCCAGTACTTCTTAATATATCCCAAAATACTTTTTACGTTTCCAAAGCACCAAATTTTTATATATGGTTGTTCAAACTGGTAAAGCCGATCAGATACGAGCTGAAATAGAAGAACAAACGTGGACGGGCTTGTTAGGTTGCAAAAAAAACCTCACATAAGATAAATAATGGGTTTATATAGAAATAGAGAGGTTATCTATTTACGATGGAATCCCAATTCTCAACACGCATAGATATTCAATGGACCAACCCAAACCTCACGTGACTTAGTTGAACATGACTAGTTTCTAGAGGGAAACTCGTCTCAACAATCATTGCAAGCGACTCAAGAGCCATACCACACTCTACCTATTACTTGACAATATTAAGAAAAATTAAAAATTCAATTGTAAGTCATCTAAATTGTCAAGCAGTT